AACTGAGTACGGAGACTCGCCGGAGGCAAAGCTGGGGATGCCTGAGACCCAAGTGGCTGCATTGATGGTGCAGGCACTCGGTTCCCCGAGGCGTTGTCAAACTTCTCTCTCAACTCCTTGATTATTCGACTCTGTTCAGCTAACTCTGACCGAAGTGCATCCTCTCTTTGCTTGGCAGAGGCGCGTTCGTTCTCAACGACGGCGTGTCGTTCGAGCGAAAGGCGATCTAGATAAGCCCGTTGTTCATGAAGATGTTGATTCTGGTGGGCTTGGTTCATGTCACTCAATCGTTGATTGGCTAAAGCCTCAATGTGTTCCCTAGACTCCTGGACAGCTACTTTGGCTTGGTTCTCCACTAAGTCTCTAAAATGCCTTGCATCCTCTGCTACTTGTTGCCCATGCTCGGCCAAAATGGCCTGATGTCGCAGTTCCGCGATCTGAGCTACCTGAGCTGACCTATCCTCATTGACGAAGACGGCTTGTTGATGAATCTGTCTTGCATCAACGTTCTGAACATTCATCACAGGAGAAAACTCAGGTTGAAACGGCGACGGAGCTTGAACATTAGGCAACAGGCCCCCCTGTGCACTGAAAGTCGGTGGTCCAATTGGCACACGCAATTCCAGCGGAACAACAGGGAGCTCAGGAGCAGGTGAACTTGACATCGCAGGCGAAGTAGGAACATAACCTGAACGTGAGCGGTCACCCCGGGAACTATCACCGTCAGCCATGGCCTCTAGATAGTGCACTATCTATGGGTGGGTGAGACCAGGGCTAGTACCAAGCACGTACCGCACTTATGGCGATACGGCTGATAACCTGTAGTTACAGGAAAACGACCTAGAAGCGCCAACTAGTCGCACCTGTTTTTCTTGAGCCAAATACGTACGAGTGAGACGAAGATGTCAACATACTAGCGTGAAACTACATGTTTCCTGCGTTGAGTTTTTGGGTGAGCTGACGCTTAGCTGATCATTCTTGGCGGCGTGGATTGCAAGAGAAGAATGCTAGCGACTTGAAAAGCACTTGCGTCTTCTCATCAACCTCTTATTCATTGGTGCCTTTGGTTGTTGGTGAGAACCTTGCCAACCACAGGAATGTCTCCATTGAAGGGGCATACGGGATACAAACATGGAGTTTCTCACAGGCCTTCGCCTTCCTTGGCCTACTTGAGACAACAAATAGGCCAGCCAAGCCACTCAATCCCAAAAAGCATCAGCCAAGAGACCGAGAACAGCACGAAAGCGCTTCGGGAGACGAAACAAGTTTCTCCCCTCCCCCAGTCCTCGGAGACTTGGAACTTGGCGCTCTGCCCCTCCCAAGTGGCGAACTCCTCCCGGGCAAAGTCAGTGTCAGTGACGTCCGGTGGCGCGCGCGGGGGGAGGGTGGTTCCTCTTTTCGAGCAAGAGACCCCCCCGGTCGACACAGGCCACTCTGGAGCTCCCTCCGGTCTTTTTGCTTGGCACATCTTGGCACCATTGGCGAAAAGCCACGCACAAACACGAACTCTTCTGAGACAGCATGCGGCGACGGAAGGCTTTCCATGACCCGAAGTTGATCAAAACAATCGGAGGCAAAAGTCAGCAGTCCTTCAGGGCTCCTTCCCGGCTATATACTGCCATCATACACTTGCATTGACAGTTGAAACTGCTCCCATTGTTCCAAAGTCAGTAGGTGCAAATCGTAACTTTGCAATACTTTGCCATAGTCCTCTCCTTCGACAACTCCACCCACCACAAAACCCAGTTCAGCTCACCCATGGTTTCCCTGCCCAAAACATCCAAAACCCAGCACAGCTCCCTCCAGCTGAAGCTCTGAAGCGCCACAGTTCCGCTCTCCTGCGCGCAGTTCAGCTTCAACCCCGCCAGCGCGTCCTCCACGCGGCTCTGATGCGCCACGCAGCGCTCCAGCGCCTCCGAATGCTGTCGCCTCGGACTCTTCGCGAAAATGGAGAACTACTGAGCTACTGAAGAGGCTGATGGAGAGAGATGAAGACGCTACACTGCGTCACTATATGTGGTTGGGGAAGTGCTCAGGGCCTCTGAAATAGGACCTCATCGTCGTGATCAGCCAAAGACTTGTCCTCCAGACTTGCTCCCCCATTGTGCTGGCACAAGCTCGGCCCCATCGAAATGCCTAAAGCATCTTGGAACTTGGGACTCGGGACCACCTTCCTATACTTCCCAATCTGCTTCACCAGCTGGTGGGGGTTGCGTGTCTTATTCGATCGCTTCCACCACGTTTCGCCCTGCGAAGTCCCGACGGTCGCCCAAGCGTCAAGGTCAAATGGATCTCGGTGAGCCGGTCGCCTGCAGCGAGGCATCGAGGCACCCGTGCCAAGTGTTGGTCTTCCCAAACGGTGCGGGAGAGGAGGAAAAGAAGGCGAAGTACGATGCTTATAGCATAGGGCGAACAAATTTTGAGTTGATGATTCTATGGCTTTGGGATGCTTTGGGGTCAAAACCAGAAGGCGTTGGGTGACCTACTGCCCGTCTTCATGTTCTGTGCAGATCCTTTTTGTGATCTGAATTTGATGTTCTAAAAATGCCTTACAAGCAGCCTACCGTGCTGGTCCAATACATGGACCATCAAAAGCCGATGTCCGATGTTCCAAATAGAGTCGCCGTGAAGCAAACCTCCCGCGAGGCTTGGACCCATCCACATGAACTCGTTGCCTAAACACAAACACATTATGCCTGACCCTGACCCACCAGCTGGCCACCTGGTATCTGCTCAACTGCACAAACCTCAACTCCCCTAAACGCTCCGAACGGCCGGGGGCGGCCTTGACTGGCCAAACTGCTCCTCGTCTCCCCACACATCTGGCCATAGACGTCTGCGACACCGCCTTGCATCTCATGCAGCTTCAACTGCAACAGTTGCACCGCCCAGGGCAACTCCTCGGCACAAAACCGGATCATACGTGAGCCGATCATACGCACGAGCCGCGGATCATACGCTGAGGCAATCCTGCGGAAAAAAGAAAGAACATGAAAGAACACATTAACGCACCTATGAGGCCACAGGGAACGATTCGGCCCGGTGGATGGTGGTAGTTTAGAGAATAGGTCCTGGATTCCTGGATAAACATGGATCAACACACGCATCAAATGTTATATACCCTCCTCCCTCCATCTAGTCACCGGGGCCAGTGAGAGATTGATGTTGGAGCACCAAATTAATTCCCAACAAGTGTAGAGTCGAGTGACATTCTGTGCTCGTACTGTAAAACCCCCCTCCTTCGATCCTGAAAAATAAAAATCACACAGAAATCCTCACCAAACGGTTTCACCTTAGTGAGTGAATCATTGAATTGCGGCATCCCTTCGTGGAACTTCTTGCGCGCCCCTTCCATTTTGCCCCACATCGAGGTTCTTGCGAGGTCCGCTCCAGCACCTCAACACGCCCGAAGACCTGCATCAGTTGCACCTGCCCGTCTTGAGCGTCGCGCTGCAAGCGCTCCTCATCGGTCGCAGTGCGCGCCGCGCCCCGGTCTTTCCGCGGGTGCCGCGGCGGCTCCGTTGGGAGGTGGGAGGAAGTCCAAGAAGAGAGCACCCCGGGCCCCTAGCCTGGCCCAGCCTCATCCACCAACCACAAAAACATCCTAAAAACCCAGACATCAGCACTTGATGGGGTGGCGTTGGTTGATGACCCTAATCTTGGCAGTTGTTCCCAAGAAGGAGTTGATCACCTGTACATGTAAGTTGATCACTTTGCAAACCCCTTGCCACGGTGCAACATGAAAGTCTTCTTCAAATAACACTCCGCACCCCCTTTCAGCCGAAGGCTCCAGGAATTCCACCTGCTGCTGCTGCTGCGCCTGCAGAGCCCTCAAGCCATGCCAGACCTCCGCCACCGAGGAGGGCACCGGCGAACTGCGGCCCGCGCGACTGGCGCCTGAAGCCCGCGCGACGGGCACCTCCTGGCGACGGGAACGAGAAACCAGGCAAAGCAACGAAAGTGCGCCACTCCATTCCGATCCCTCCAGAATAGTTAGATTGTTTTATATAGAAGTCCTTCTCAAATACATGGAGCATGCTCCAGTTCATGCAGTCGACCACGTGGAAAAGGATGGAACCCTGTGACTGGAATCATGGGTTAGTCGTGATGCGGATGAGGCGAGCACGAAGCCGCGAACAAAGACCATGAAAGAGAAGCCGAGAAGCCGAAGCTCATCCTTAGCATCACACCCTCCTTCGTGCTTCACCCGCTTCGTTCATCCTCTCGATCCTCACCTCCCCCCCGGTCGCGGCACGCCTCCACCTTGGCCATCGCCAGCACCGGCTCGGACGCCACGCTCGACAGCCGCCGCGCCCCGGGGCGCTCAGTACCGCCCTCGCCGTCGCGGTGAGCGCCGTGGGCGCGGGGGAGCGCCTCCCACAGCACGTCGCGCTGGGCCATCGGAGGGCACGGACAAGGCCAAACAGCTCTCGCTTGGTAAGTGGTATAGTGGTATAGTGAAGTGTCAGTGATGTACATGATCATGATAGTCCACCCGATTGTTCACCCGGGTGGTCTTTGTCGTGGCCTAGGGCCTACAGGCCTCGGGCTTGGGCATGTTTGGAACCTATGCCGTCATAACTCATAAGTAAGTTGTTCTTCCTCAGTTTCCCTCTGCAAGGCAGCTTCTTGGACCGGTGGACGTATCCCTTACAATGCTCGCTTTCATCGGTCCTGGACTCATGAGGTGTCTTGGTACATCCCTTGGCGCATGCGTTTGCTGGACAAATCGGTAGATGCACGTTTGGCCCTCTTGGTACTTTGTGGGTTCCCTTCTTGGATTCCATCTTTTGCATTCTTTTGCATCTTCCATCATCCTTGGCCACTTTTCAACTTGCGATAGCAGACCGCGATCTTCACAGTCCAACTAAGCTCTCTCAGCCTTTGAGCCAAACAAGGCCGCGGCTTTGGATCCAAAAGCCCCCCCAAAGCCCCAGCCCTACGACCAGCGTCGCACGGGCACGGTGGGTGCGGTCTCGACGCATCCGTCGGTCTGGCGCCTGGGAGTGCGGAAAGCCCCAGGCGAACAACGCATCCTGAGCGACGCACGCCGCGCGACAAAGGCTCCGAACAGATCCTGGGTTCCGCCGGTTCCGGAAGGTCTAGGCGGCGAAGGACGTCACGGGACCCGAGGTTCTGAGCGGGAGGATCGCCCAGTTCAGGTACAGAAGGTATGCGGTGGTGATCCTGTCACCTAGGCCGCCTACCCGCCTACTGTGCAAAGCATCCGGACCATGAGACACTCACCGGGGTCCATCCGTTCGTGGCAAGGTTTAGCCACCTGCCCTCGCTGCAAGCGAGGAAGCCCTTGCCACGCAAGTGAGCACTCGGAAAGTTCTTATGATCGCTTGGTGGTTCGTCGAACCAGCATGAGCTAACAGCTAACAGCTAACCGCACCAAATGCTAATATATAGAAACGAAAGATCGATAAAGATCGTTCTCCTGGTGCGTCTAGGCCAGTGTAGGCTACACAGTTCTTCGACTGTGTTTCCACATGGGTCCTGCCCTCCCGCCCGGTCAAGCTCCATTTGTCTTCTGGGGCCCAGGCCATGTCGATGCGGTTCGTGGAGAAGTAGCTCCTTCTCATCGCCCGGAGGTGCATGTACCTCGCGGAACCGACCGCTGGCACAGGCTGGCAGCTGGCGGTGGTGAGGTTCCATCACCATCACTGCATTGATCTGGGTTGTAGGATTGGCGGGCCTAGGGCCCTGGGGCCCTGGTCGCAATACTTCTTGGGGCCTACAGCGGCTGGTGCTCACTGCAGGGTCAGCTACAGACAGTATGCCAAAGGTGGCCTAGGGCCTACTTCTCAGCATGGTTTGCACGGCCAGAAGCTCCAGGTGCAGCTCTGCAAGTCCGACAGAAATCTGAACGTCCTTTGGTTTATGAAGGCCTGTCAAGGGAGAAAGAAACAAAACCTCCCTGATGGCAAACATCTTCAACCTCAACACATAAACATCTAGTTCCCAGTGCTTGGGAGAGAGCTTGTCGTGCTTACACCACCGAGCTTGCCACGCTCTTTCTTGAACCTCATGCAATGTACCCAAGACTTCTTCCGGAAAAACCTAGGTACCCTCGACAGGTAGTGGACCACTGGTGTTCAGCCAACCTTGGTCATGGTCCATGGATGATGGCGACCGGACCGGTGTCAGTCAAAAGCGGCCTTGGTGTCGTCAAAACAAACAGGAGGTTGCCTCTCCATCTCCCGCAACCCCCCGAAAACCGCCCGCGCTTCGGTGAATAGAAACATGCTTCCCGTGGGAAGACACCCTCTTTCCTCCCTCCGCCTGGTGAACGGCATCATGAAGAGACTCCACAGGGCAAGGCATCCGAAGGTCTGCCTCAGCGACGGGCGAAGGTCTGGTGGTGATGCACGGCACTGGAAGACCGGAATTCAGCACCTACGAGACACTTCCGCCTGGTCTGGTGGTTCCTGATTTCAAAAGTAACGGTAGCCCTTGAACACCTGTGATTCCATCGCAATGATCCCAGGGCGAAGTTGCTGCTTCACGGCCAAGCTGTTGCTCCATGGGAAGCCCCCCATCGGTCCAAATCAATCCTTGGAAGCCTATATGGGGTTGATTTGGTGTTGATTGCTCCCGAAAGCCAGCATGATTGCCATGTTGCGAATGACAACAAACGCAAACGAGGTCACAATGATAGTTCAAAAATGTTCAAAATCTCTGTGAGCTGCTGCCCCTCCCCCAAAAAAGAAACAAGCAAAACACCCACCAAAGAGACGAATGCCGCAATGTGCGGCTTTCGTCAAAGGTCCCGGTGCCAAGTGCCACCCCCTAGGCCCTGGGCCCCGGTGCCCCCAATCTGGGGTCTCCTTTTGTGAGAGATGCACAAGAAGTCATGGATTCCTCTCGTCAACGACCCACCGCTTGTGAGACAGGCTCGGTGATTCCACACCGCTACACTGGCGGCTTCTACACGGCTCCTCTGGGCGCCGACCTGGTCGGGCACGTCCGGGGAAGGCATCGAATTCTGAATTCGGGCGCCGCTCCGAAGATTGGAGGCAGTGACGCGGTCTTTCGGCGAGCGAAGCCTGACGGAATCTCAAGCAGATGGGCACAGGATCAATGACTGCTAGGCGGTCTTTCGGCTAAGAGCTGGCGCAAAGTGCCGGAGTTGTAATGAAGCCGTAGGAGAGGTACATGAATGCTTTGCGGTGGAGTTGCGGCCAGCCACTGAGTCACTGCCGGCCATCTTTTCAAGAGATGCGCCGAGCAAGCTAGGGTGGCCCCTTGCCTTCAGAAAGGAGCCACACAACGATCAAGAGGATATTCAGATGAGATGATTGGAAGTGTAGAAATGCGTAAGTTTAAGGCTAACTGTGGGTCTAAACAAAATCACTTGTCAAAAGCGATAAATCCGGAGCAGTCCAAAGGCTATACTATACTCATGCACCGAACCAAGATTCACAGCATGGCATCCCCCAACCGATCCCGTCACCATAATTGGGCCATTCGGCTGCCATTCAGCACCATTCGGCTGAGGCTGAGCTCCCTCTTGTCCATCTCTCTTCGGAAGGTTCGGAAAATGACAAGAAGGGACGATTCAAAGTCAGAGTTCAAAACACATCACTAACCATGGTCGAAGTCAACACCCACCATCACTCAGTGACTCACTTACCTGCCATCCGAGAAAAATGTGAAAAATGATCGGAACGATTCCTCACTTCCAACGATCTCACCCAACTCGTGAAGAACTGGCGCTAACAATCGGTGCAGCGTTCACCACTGGCGAGTGAGGGAGGTCCTCCCTCTCTCAGGACCGGCGGTGCCGACGCACCGGTGAAACGGCGAGCGGCTCTCGCGGCGAGCCCGACGAGTCAGTCGAAGGAACCTGGGTAGGGACGAGGGGCGAGGCCAGGGCGCGAGCCACAAAAAGCAAAGGGGGAATTCGAGTAGAGGTTCCCCCCCCCCGGGTTGCCTGACTTGTGTCTACACCATAAATTGTTCGCATGTCTAGCACACACGGAAAAAACCGAACAAGGCCACAGCCGGCCTGATCGTTTCCTCCAGTGGTTTGAAGATTGATAATTGATGGCCCCAAATCTCACCAGGATCCAATGGCCCAACTGCTGGGACTTCTGGGAGGTCATCAGGTCATCCAACTGACCAACATCCATCGCTGTTGAAGATACAGAAGGAGCACAGACTGGGCCTCGATGGTCCCAGGTCTCTCTCCCGAAAATCCCTGGAAAGCCCAGAGACTCTCGACCAAAAAGGAGTTGGCCTTCGTAGGTCCCAGTCAAACATGGGTGTCCGTCCTCATGCGTCTCATTCCTTGAGGCTCCCAGCGGGTGTAAATGACGATAAACTCCGGATAGACGGCCTCTTCGTTGAAAAACACCTTAGGCGTCTGTACTGCGTCGGCGTCTGGCTGGCTGCTTCAGCAAGCTTTGGCACCCATCTGGTGCTTGTGTTTGTGAGTGGAAACGGTCTGCACTGCCTAAAAACAGTGTGTGCTAGCACTTTGTACATAAACCCCTGGATGCTCTCCTTGAGCATGGTCCGGATGGTGCGTCAGTCCGAATTCCTAAGTTCGTTCCAAGATGATTCATGATGAAACCCAGTGACCACGTGTGCTTAGCCACCAACATCTTAGTCTACCTGTTCCAGTTTCTCTATGCTTTCACCACCTGGCCCCTCACTAGGCCCTCATACACTGGTGCCGATCATCCCTCTTGGCTCGTCCTCCGCATCCCCACCCTTCTTCGCCCGGACCGCCTTCACCGCCCCGCTCGGCACGCACCGACGCCGAGGCGCCATCTCCCGAAAGGTGCCCACCGCTGCCAGGCGGTCGCCGCACAAGGCGTCATAGCCTCGGGAAGGGCCAGGGGACCGCCACCAGGCGGGTGAACGAACAGGGCAGGGGCGGTTTTGGGAAGGGAAGGGAGGCGGCTCCTTCTTGTTTGGAAGCGGTTTGTTGGTTTCTCTTTTTCCGTTCGTGAGCCTTCAGGAGTCGTGGCGGAGTCGTCTGGTTGTTTCTGCGGAAGTTGGTTCAGTTCAGAATGTGTTTATGTGGTGACAGTGGTGACAGTGGTAACGGTGACCTTGAGTATTGATGGCAGGTGGGGCGTCCCAAAAAGAAGGAAGTAGAAGCTGGAAGAAGATGGATGTCAGTTCCTTCATTCGCGGAGAATGCTTTACTGGCATGAGTGCTTTGTTTCAGTGCACACATGTCCCAACCTTTGGAAAGGATGCAAAACCCTAATTGGTTCACCACCCAGCCTTTTTCTCATATACACTCTGAACTCGGTCTCCACTAGTGAACATCTTGAACGCTTGGGCAGTCAAACACTCACGCGCGACCGCCTAGAAGACTCACCACACCCCCGGCCCCCGCCTCCCGTCCGCAAAGTCTCTTGCATATCTCCGGCCTGGTCAGCACGTGCAGAAAGTGTCCAATTGTCAGGAGTGGCCCCTTTGCCATCCGCCCAACAAGAAGCTAGTAGAAACAAGTGCCACGCTACTAGGAACAGGTGCCTTACTAGTAGTAACAAGAAGTTAGTAGTAACAGGTTGCTTGTCTTTACCTCTCTAGCAGGTTGGAGGCCATCGCGTTCTTTTGCGTCCGCTCCCTGGGACCACAGCCTCAGAGACCGTGAGCACCTCGCCCATGGCACAGCGGCACAGCAGCACCGCACAGAGGCCCACATAAACACCCGAACCCTCCTTCGCATACTCGTCGCTCTTGCTGGCCTGGGCGTCTAAGTGATGAGGGTGGACTGGCAAGGGCAGATTCAATTGGCTATCAAGCTTGCAGTTGACCTTTGCATTGACTGTGTTGAACTTCCGAAGCCTAACATGCCCAGCGGTGTGATATGGTCATTCATCACATGAATGAATCAAGATACAATCATCGATTGCCCCTTCCTCTCGCAGCCTCGCAATCATCCAGCCCTCCCACCGCATACCAGCTCCACTCTACTCCTTTCAACCCCAGCAACCCCAGCAATCCCATCACCCCCAAGCACTTTTCCAAGGCACGTTCTCCGCCAAATAAATGCCCTTCCCAAACATCGACCCCACCACGCTGCCCGCCAAGTCCACCCGGAGCCCGCCGCCCCGCGCGATCTGCTGCGCGGACTCCGGCGAGGTCCCGTGGAACAAATACGCCTCGCCGCGGAACGGCGGCGTCCCCGGCGGAGACCGAGGTGGACGGCGCGCGGAGGTCGGCGCGGCGCGGAGACCGAGGTGACAAAGAAAGGAAGCGGTCGAAGTGTCGTTCAGGTGTGAGAGGTGTGAAAAAATGGTGTGCTTGGTGCGGACGACCCATATTAAGACTCGAATGATCAAACCTTTCCGGGAGGGAAATCCGATGGCCGCCCTGGACCAACCCCGAAGCTCCCGTGATGGGACCGATCGACTTGCGCGTTGGCGCCGTGGCACCTCGTTGATGTTGGGATCTAGCAGGTTGATCTTGTGAGTCGTGCGCACCCGGAACTCCGAACAGGGACCCGAGCGCTTGATCCTCAAGCCCTCCTTGTAGCTCGCATAGCGCGTGTACGCCTGCGCCCGGTTGGGCCACAGACGCGGTGGCGTCAACGGCGAGAACGGAGGAGTCTGGAGGTGCTGGGGTCGGTGGGAGCGTTTGGTCGCAGGATCTGTCACTATCTCAAAGTTTGCTTAGAACTCCTGAGTCCTAGAGGATGTCCGCATCCTGCAAACAGCTTCCACATCCCTTTGCCTGCTTTTGTTGTTAGGGGAAAATTGTTCGTGCAGTCTGGGTTTGATGCCAGATTTGCTGTGCCAGAAGCCTCAACGATCAACAATGGTGTTGGACAACACAGAGATCAACAAAAACGGGCCAATGTGACCTTGACAACTCCAATACATTCTCCCCCAGTTTCCCTGGAAAATGGAGGCGAACCTTTTGCCACCTATTGGATTTTAGTGGGGAAACCCATCCCTCTCCGCACCAGGCTTTTGTGGAGCTTTGCCCAAGGCTCTCCATCTCTTCGTGCACAAGGCTGATCATCTCTACGTGATTCCCAGGGACTGGTCACAACATCCAACCCCAAGCCTGCCCAAGTTTTCAGGGACTGCTCGGGTCGCCACCCACCCCTCAAGTCGCCCAGAGGGTGAACGATATCGCTCGGTGTTTCTGGCTCACACGCGTAGAGTCTAGACCTCTAGATTCAGGAAAAACTCACCACGCACCCGAGTGTGATGATTGCTTAATGATGGTTTAACGTAGCACTCAGCACTCATCCATTGGGGGAGTGCCAAGACTTCGAAGCCATCACTTGGAATGACAAGGTCTTGATGAAACCGCCCCTCAGCCCCTCCCAAAGTGACTGCACCCAAGCCGGCGCCTTGTGGTTCTCG